GGTGATTCTGGTATTGGGAGCGCGATCGGAAGTGAATTCGGAGGTCCGTAGGTCATTTTGGAGTCATTTGGCTAAAGATAGAAATTTGAAGGTTTTTGAGAAGTTTGACTGGAAGTGGACTTTTTGATATCGGGGTCGAATTCCGATTCCGGAAGTTGGAGTAGGTCCGTAATGTCAAATATGACTTGTGTGCGAAATTTGGGGTCAATTGGACGTGATTTGATAGGTTTTGGCATCGAATGTAGAAGTTTGAAGTTCTAAAGTTCATAAAGTCCGGATTGGGGTGTGATTCGTGAATTCGGCGTTGTTTGATGTGATTTGAGGCCTCGAGTAGGTCCCCATTATGTTTTGGGACTGGTTGGCATGATTGGTTGGGGGCCTCGGGTGGATTCTGGGTGATTAACGGATTTAATTGGAGTTGGGAAGAATAGCTGAAGCAGCTGATATCTTGTGCAACCGCACCTGCGAGGTTTTGGCCGCAGGTGCGGAGCCGCAAAAGCGGCCAAAGGGGCGCAGACGCGGTGGTGAAGGGTGAAGGCTGGGACCGCAGGTGCGGTCAGGTCACCGCAGAAGCGGGACCGCACCTGCGAAAAAAGGAGCACAGAAGCGGAGAGGGCAGCCTGGCGAAGGACCGCAGAAGCGGTTGGGGAACCGCAGAAGCGGTCAGGTGACTGCAGGTGCGAGAGGTCGGGCTGGGCAGTGTTCTTTAAAGAACAAGATTGGTTCATTTTCTCTCATTTTTCAGTTGGGTTGGGTGATTTTGGAGCCTTTGAAGAGAGAGATTTCACCATCAATCATGAGGTAAGTTAATCCCACCTCTTGTAAGTTAAATACATGGTCTTATTGCGGATTAAAGTATGAAAATTTGTAGAAAAATGGGATTTTGAGGAAAAACCTAGAAAATTAGTCTTCTTGGATTTTTACCACAATTTTGGACATGAAGTTGAGAGTAATTATATAATTGAGTTCGTGAGGTTATGGGTAAACTTTATCTTCGAAAAATTTCGAAATCCGGGCACGTGGGCCCGAGGGCATTTTTGCCAAGTTTTCGATCGGGGTTAGGAATTGTTATAAATTGGATTATTATGAGTAGTTGATCATGTATTAATGGATTTGCATAATTGTTGGCTAGTTTTCGAGCGTTGTGCATCAATTTGAGTCATCGGAAGGGCGTGGAATGCTGGTTATGGAACTTCGGAGCGAGGTGAGTCTCCTTTCTAACCTTGTATGAGGGAATTATCCCCATAGGTGAGTTAATTGTTTATGTGCTCCTATTTGTGGGGGCTACGTACGCACGAGGTGACGAGAGTCCGTGCGTAGCTACTATTATGCTTATGTCCGGGTAGTCTAGGACCCAAAAGCATGCTTACCTGTAATAAATGCAACCTTGTTGACAAATTTAAAAATGCTTAAAACATATCGAACGTTTAAATGAATTTCTAAAAGACCAAATATCATTACTTGAAGAGAAACTTGCCTTTTCCCGAATAATTGCTCCTCGATGAATTATTGATTTGACTGTCGAATGTGTTTATCTATTGTGGAACGGGCCGAATGCCTCGGTAGATTAAATAGATGCATCTATGGTTCCCGCCATTCGACCCTCTGGCAGTGCACAGTTTAAATATTGTTGGATCGGGCCGTACATCCTCGGCATGATTTGCGCTTGCTTGTATTGCTTGCCTTGAAATTTATAAAAGTGATATTGTTTCTTCCAGGCTTGAGAATAATGTATAAATGATGAAAAAGGAATTTGGAAATTTCCTATAAAAGAAAAGAATTGCTTACTTGTTTCCTTCTATTGAATTACCATCATGGTTATAAAAAATCCTCGATTAATTATATTGTTGTCATATCATATTTAGACCACTAGTAAGTATCGAAGTCGACCTCTCGTCTCTACTTCTTCGAGATTAGGCGGGATACTTACTGAGTACACGTTGTTTTCGTACTCATGCTACACTTGCTGTGCATTTTTGTTGCACAAGCACCTGTATTTCTAGTGTCTTATAGGGCGTAGCGGAATGGATGATACGGGGACTAGGTGAGCTGCATTTCTCGAGGCGACCCGCAGCTAGTATAGTCTCTTTTAGCGTATTGCATTTACTTTTTGTCCAGTTTGTATTCCAGACAGTTATTGTGTTGTACTTTATTTGATTCCTTAGTAAATGCTCATGCACTTGTGACACCGGGTTCTGGGATAATTATCGGATTATTCAGTATTCAGGAATTGTTAAAGACACATTATTATTTCAGCAAATTTTATTATTTAATGTATAAAAGAAAAATAATTTCAATATATACTAAAATGGGAATTTAATTAACTTTTTGGTGTTGGCTTGCCTGACAGTGGTGTCCGGCGCCATCACGACCCTTAGTGAATTTTGGGTCGTGACATATTTAGAGGTATTTTTTGATGGTCTAGTGTTTGTTTATTTCTTATAATCCAAAGCTACCATAAATCAAATGGAATAAGTGATGTATATGGAATGTTGTAAGGTGTTGATACTAGAGGGGTGTGTATAAGATGGTACAACCAACTTATAATATCATTTTGTGATGTTGAAAAAGTAATAGTTGTAATTGGGACCCTAAGGACATTCTAAAGTTGTAGTGCATTAGGACATTGTTGAAATAAGTGGATTATTGTTTCAGGGCCCATATTACACTGTGGACATGTGGCTGAACTGATACCTACACGTGTGAGATATACAGTCGTTGGGAGTCTGTCATGACAAATTAACCAAAGGAAAAATGAAATTTTTGGAGGAATTTGAAGTTTCCACATCCACTTGTAGGAGTTTGTTGTGTGTGTGCTAGTAGGATTAGTGATGTTTATTAAGGAATTGTACATAGATTTAGCAGAGAATATACCATTTTCTGTTAGGGCTCAGTATATTTTGTCACAAGTTATGGGTGCAATTGGCAGATAAATATTATTGATTGAAGAGCGTATATGAGTCGGTAAAGTGAAAGGTAATGTGTCTAAATGCCACCTATGATTATAATAATAATTAGAAACTAATATTTTTTCCTCATATTGAGGCATAGGTCCATTAATATAGTTACGAAGTATAAAATGATGATTGATCCAAGGATCGTTCCAAAACTTGACATGTTGTCTCGTCGTAAGGAGTACTAGACATTTCTCAATAGTAAATGCATAGGATTAAACATTGAATACTACTGTTATTCTGAGTCTGTGATTGGTCTGAGTCAAACCGTGTGGCTATTGAAAAATTAGGTAATACGAATAACTCCATTTAATTTTTTCTTACATGTGAATGTTTTTTTTTTTTTAGGGGGGGGTGAGGGAGGGGGGGGGGGGTTATCTAAATTTAACATTGGAGTATATAATCAAAATTATGCTTATTATTTTTCCTTCTCAGAAAATAAACGCCTCCAACTAAGTTTTCTGTCAATACAAGGTCTGAAGTGCATTGAACAAAATAAAGTGTATGTTTTTTCTTCCAATTATTTTTAAGCATTGCAACACGCAAATTGAAGCCGTGAAATCATATTTTGATATCAAGTTATAAACTTCAAGAATTATATTTTATTGTTCAAACGTTTTATTTTCTTTGTTTTTAATCTAAACTCTTTTTCTATATTTTTACTTCATAGTGATATATAGCCTTTTTTATTTATGAGAATTTTAATTTTCAGAAAGAACATATGAATTACTCTAAAAAGGAGCGATCTTGATAAATTAGAAAAAATTAAAAATTCAAATTGAAATATATTGGAGAATTTTCTTTAGATGAACACCGCTAATCTAGTCGAGATAGACGATGATAAAATCCCCCTAAAAAAGGAGAAGATTTTCAAAGTTAAATTTGGTAAAACTTTATTTTAGATCAATAAAGTTTCGAGTCGATTTATATATTTAAATTTCAGTTTGATTTATTAAATCAAAAAATTTTGTTAAGAATTGATTGTAAAGCTGCAAAATTTAATTTACAGAAGGATGTACAAAATCTTACTTCTAAACATATATTTGCTAGAAGGCAAGCTATTTTTTTTTAAAGGCCTCTTATATTAAGGTTTTGCTTGAGGCCTGGGATGTTGTTGAGCCTCCCTTGTGAAAAATACCTTATATAGTTGTATCTCAAATTAATATATTCTGTGCTATTAAGATTTTACCGAGGAAAAAAATTTGAAAAAATAGAAACAACCCACTACTCTTTTCATTACTCTTTAGCTCAATTGTTGAGAGTTAAACACAAGACAACACAACACGTAGTTTGTGTTAGAGAGGACATATTAAATTGGAGAGGCAAGCCAGTGAAGCAGATATCATCAGCGGAGAATACGTGACTTGTGCTGAAAAACTCAACTTTAGCACTTTCTATCAAAAGAATTACATTAACTTGTTAACAACCCAGATTTCATGCTTTCCAATCTGTCTTCTTTCTTTACAACAACTTTACTTATAACTATATTCTTTAACTTGTAATAAATACACCGTCTGTGTCACTTTTGGGCACTTGACAACATTCAAAGCTAGTGTTAGTAATACTACAATTATGTGCTTTGTTTCCGCACTAATTCCTTCCTTTTCTTTAGAGCACATAATCAATGGGTTATATATTTATTCACTAAAATTTCAACAAAATATTTGGTTCTGAACCTAATTTTCAATAGTGTAATATGTTCAATGGTAAAGAATCTAAAGGTTAAACTAATCAAATTGAAATTTTGAGTGTATACTGGTTTGTTAGCCGGGGAGTGGAAGAATTATACTATGCAACAAAGCAAAGAATCCTGCTATTGCATTTGGCAATTGGCACCAAATGATTCTTGAATCAATACCACTACTACTTGAGGCATAAAATGGTACACACCAAAAGTCCAAAACCATTATTGCCCACCTGAAACTTAGAGTATGTAGTATTATTTTAGAGTTTAACTACCAAAAGATAACAACAGGTTAACCATCCATAAAAGTCAGAATTAGTAACCTGAAAATAAGGCAAATTACCTGTTATAGAAAATTAAAATACACTGACAAATTCTTGTGTATATAAGTTAAAATCCTTACTACATTAGTATGTGCAATAAGCTTTACACAAAGAGAAACATGGAAACTGTACTACAGGACATTCTCTTCTAACACAACTCTGGAGCTTGGAACAGGTTTCTGGTTTATCATACTGCAACTACATTATCTTCCTAACACAATAAAAACTCCTTACTATACAACAATTATCTTAACATCAAGACAATTAACCAGAAAAAGGATTAAAAAAGAAGGAAAGAACAGGACAATGTTGATGAACCTTAATCACAACAAATTGGACATCTTATCAGTCCATTCTCATTACAATCCGGGCAACGTTGGAAGCCATATTCATCGTCCTCAACTTCCAATTCGTCGTACTCTCCCTCATAGTATATTTTACAACTCCCTGAGCATGTCTCACATGGTACAAACCTAATATCTCCACAAGCCTCACAAACTCCATTTCCAACTCCAATCCCACCATCACCATCCTCTATTCGTTCGCAATTTTCTACTAACTTCTCGAGCTTCCCATCCTCGTTCATTCTCCGTATTACATCAGCCCCACCAATGTACTTTTTACCTAAAAACACCCTTGGTAATCCCCCTCTAGCAAATCCATCTCCCAATAATTCTTTCAACTCCTCCTTGAACCCTGAATGCATTGAAACATCCCTCTCATCAACCTTAACACCTAGTCCCTTTAGAATCACACGGACGTGACAACAATCCTCGTATGTTTTCCTCACCCCTCTTAGGCTCGTGAAGTAAATAACCAATTTTTCCATCTCACGAGACACCAATTTATTATACACCGTTAGTACTTCTCCATTTTCTCTCTTCGAGTCCTTTCTTGACTCGGACTCATCATCCGATCCCTGAAGATCTTCGACGATTAATGGCTTCAAATGAAAAGGGTTAGCTGGCGGAAGCTCTTCAAGTGCTTTTCTAAATGTAGAAATCACTTCAGGATCAAAATCAGACACTATAGATGTGTCATTTGAATGCAAACTAGACTCATTATCAGCCATTTTCGGCGATCCTTCGCCATTTTCTTTAAGCAGATGATCATCAAAACAAGATATATTTGTATTATGAGAAACAGGGAAAGAGAAACTATGATCAAGATGAGGTTTAAGAGGAGTAATATCTTCAAGACCTTCCATTAATTCCCAAGCATTAATAGTTTCTGGCTCACCTGGTGGCGTTCTTACTGGTGTTTTAGGAATCACAACATTTGGGATTTTCTCATTGATCATTTGTGACCATGTTCTTGCTTCAATCAACAACTCATCTTTACTTTCGATTTCGAATGCAAATTGAACATCATTGAGACTTTGACTCAGGTTCATTGAGTCAAGTTTTAATGATCCTAATGTAGAGGAAGTGAGATTGACCAAATGTTGTTCACTCTCATTATGATCTTTCTTATTTGGTATGTACATTGAGTAGCTTCTGCGTACAGGTGAATATGGTGTGTGGCAATTTTGACATACTTTTGGCTTTGAAGTTGCACAACCCATTATTGATAATTTCACCAACAACTTAAGTTTGGTACAAGAAAAAAAAGAATGCTACTAAATAGAGGAATTAAAAATGACAAGAATTCAGAATACGAGGATAATTATAATTTGTACCCCTTTAGTATTTAAGAAAAGATTAATCGATGATAGAGGATACTAAAATCTGCATCAATGGATTGGTTATAAAAGGTAACAGCTTTATCATAATTGACGAGACGACAAGAATGTCAACAAGAAGACAATGCCACATATATTGATACCTTAAGAACAAATTGCATCAGAGGATTAGCAGAAAAAAAAACCTCGTATAAATTATGAATAAGAAGAAAAGAAAGAGAGAAAAATTGCCAGGGAGAGAGAATTTTGGGAGAAGAAGGAACTTTTCAGCAGTTATTATTTTATTCTTCTTCCTTCCCTGAAAACAATGTTTCTATCTCTCTAAAGATTATTGGTGGGGTTTTTTTTTTTCTGTTGTGTACAAAAAGATGGGTAATGGACAAAACCAAAAAAGACCCTATTAGTGGCTAGGATGAGAATGAGTGGTTAAAAATAAATCAAAACTTTTTTTCTGGAGAGGGGTTGATTTTATAATATGAATGAAGAAATGGTGGATATACAACATGTCAAGAACAAAAAAAAAATGAAAAGAAAGGATTGTGGTGGCTTCTAGGCAAATTCAATTGCCCCATGCCCAAACCTCTTTTTGTGTGAGACGAAGAGAAGTGAAGGGGCTACTTTATTTTTTTTGATTTTTCACTCGTTATTTGATTACCAGCATAGGGGTTGGGACTCCGACATATCCCGATTCTCGCCGCATAAGGCCTATTAAAGGAAAAAGTGTTACTATTAAGATTTTTCCAATTTCATAACACAAATCAAAGACATCTAATTAAGGATGAACTGATCTTATGTATTCATACCACAACCCTCGATGATGAGGGCTGCTTTATTGGTTCTTTGTAAGAAGGTGGCCAAAATATGAGCAAGGTTCGGGTTTCTATATAATCTAGAGTTAAGATATCTTCATCATATTCAACAAAGTACGAAGTAGAGAAATTTGATAGAGGATCTAGTTTGGTCTATGGAAGATTAGGATGAAATCGTCTCTGGTGTTACAAGGGGGGTGGAAGCAATTGATGAGGATTTTCCTAAAAAGATGAAAGAGATAGAAAAAAAAGACCTGAAGGAGAGGGCTTTGAGTGCGTTCTTCATGAGCGTTACAAATAGGGTTCTTCGGGGAATTACTCAAAAAACTTCTGCAGCAACGGCATGAAAGAAGCTGCAAGATTTGTATTCTAAGAAATAGGTGACAAACCGTTTCTACCTGAAAAATAGGTTATACAATCTTCATATGAATGAAGGTACACCTGTTAAAACTCACCTTGATGAGTTTAATTCAATAATAATTGAACTTGAAGAATGCAGATATCGAAATTGACAGTAAGGACATGCCTTAATTGTGTTATGTTCTTTATCACCATCTTACGATACTTTTGTTGATACGTTGCTATATGCGAAAGACAGTATTTCACTGGAAGATGTTAGTAATGCACTAAAATCTAAAAAGTTAAAAAAGAGATTTTCAAAAAGCAGAACTGAGGGTGAGGGTCTTGTGAGTAGAGGAAGAACACAATAGAAAGACTTTAATAAGAAAAATTCAACAGCCAAATCGAAGTCAAGAGAAAAAAAAGTAGAACTGTTATGAGCGCATGGAACAAGATCATTACAAGAGAGATTGTCATAAGCTGAATGAGAAAAGAGGTAAGCAAAAAGTAGTAATTCTGTAAATATTATTGACACTTGCAATAATTCTAATGATAGTGACTATGTAGGGGACATTTGTACCGTGAGTTGTCACGACCCGAAATTGACACCGTCGGGACCGTGATGGCGCCTAACATTTCACATGCTAGGCAAGCCAACATTAGAGATTATTAAGCCAAGTTCTTAACCCTTTCAGTGATTAACAACAATTAAGCCGTAACAAGTTAAAAAGAGTGCGGAAATCCATAACAATCTTAATATTTATACACAATTACCCAGAATTTGGAGTCACAATCCACGAACTTCTAAGATTTAACTACAAGTAATTTGTCTGAAGGAAATACAATTGTTTTCGATACAAATGAAACAGTAAAGAGAATGTATAGAAGGGGAGGCCAGGGCTTGCGGACGCCAACAGGACTACCTTGGGTCTCCGATCAGATGAAGCAAGCACCTAAACTCAGGATCAAATCGGTCCAGTACCAAAATCTGCACAAAAAGTGCAGAGTGAAGTATCAGTACAACCAACCCCATATACTGGTAAGTGTCGAGTCTAACCTCGGCGAAGTAGTGACGAAGAACACCACAAAACAAACTTTTGCAGTATAAAAATATATATACCAATAACAGCAATAACAGAAACGAGACAAGTAATATTGGGAGGGGGACATGCTAAGGGGATCACAAGATAAAGAATCAAAGCAGTGATAAGGACTTGATCAACCAATATGCCTTGAACAGATAGAAACAAGTAAACACGGTGAAGGAAACTGCACGGCATCACCCTTCGTGCTTTTACTCTCAACCTCACCATATGAAATAATAGAAACGGCACGGCATCACCCTTCGTGCATTAACACTTACAACATGGCACGGCATCACCCTTCGTGCATTATCACACACAAAACATGGCACCGCATCACCCTTCGTGCATTAACACTCTCCCTCACCAAAACAATGAACAATAATAACAAGGAAATAGCAATGAAAACAACAAGTCTTACTTCAACATTTGGTGCCATAATACCAACCTCAACTTCGAGTCAATACTCAATCAATACCAAGGTCCGTAAACATGATAAGAATGCTCAACAAAAAGAGTAGCTAGTCTAAGCATGGATAATATGATCAAGGAAAGCAACAATTACAAGAATAAGATACACTCGCATGCTATAACATGACAACATCGCATAGGTACTCGTCGCCTCACTTATACGTTGTATCTAACATTCAAACATATAGCAAATAAGAAAATAATACCTAATCCCTCAAGCCAAGGTTAACACGACACTTACCTCGCTCCATCGGCCAAACTCAAAGCTCAACCATAGCTTTTCCCTTCAAACAAGCCTCCTGAGAAATAGAATCTAGCAAATTACCAACCAAACGATTGAATTTAAGCCTTAGGAACTACCCATGATTGCAAAGGATTCAATTTATGCCATTTTTAAAAAAGTCAACACCCGGGCTCGCTTGGTCCAAACCCGAAATTCGGACCAAAACCCGATTACCAATTCACCCCCGAGCCCTGATATATAATTGGTTTTGGAATCCCACCTCAATTTGAGGTGTAAATCTCCAAATTTTGAAATCCCTAGTTTCTACCCAAAAATCCCCAATTCCACCATGGAAATCTTAGATTCTAGGTTGAAATCTTGTAAAATGAAGTGAAAGATTGAACGAAACTAGTTTAGAATCACTTACCTATGATTTGGGGAAGAAAAGTTCTTTGAAAAATCGCCTCTTGTGTTTTAGGTTTTAAAAATTTGAAGAATGGGAGAAAGATCCCGTCTAAGTCACTTTTACACAGCTGCGGATGTCGCATTTGCGACCTGGGCTTCGCAAATGCGAAGGAGCCATCGCAAATGTGAAGCCCTTCATACTTCTGCTGCCTTCTCAAATTCGAAAGTTTGTTCGCAAATGCGAACATCCCACTTAGTAATTGCGACAGAAATGATCGCATTTGCGATCATGCCCTGCCCTGCCCTGCCCTGACTCACTTCGCAAATGCAAAGTTTTTCTCGCAATTCCGAGGACTGCCTGGCCCAGCTACTCTTCGCATTTGCGATGCGCAGCTCACAAATGCGAAGCCGTCATGCTCGCAAATGCGAACTCTGATCTCGCAAATGCGAGATCAGAGGCCAACACCAGAACTAGAACACAACAACATCTCTAAGTCCAAATTTCACTCCGTAGCCTATCCAAAACTCACCTGAGCCCTCGGGGCTCTAAACCAAACATGCACACGAGTCTTAAAACATCATACGAACTAGCTCGCCCGATCAAATCGCCAAAATAACACCTAGAATTATAAATTTAGCACCAAATCAAATGAAAATCTCAAGAACACTTTAAAATTTTAATTTTCTCAACTGGACGTCCGAATCATGTCAAACCAACTCTATTTCTCACCAAATTTCACAAACAAGTCATAAATAGGGTATTGGACTTATACCGGGCTCCCGAACTAAAATACGGACCCGATATCCAAAAATTCAAACCTTGGTCAAACATCTCAATTTCACTAAGTCTTTAACTTTCAATTTTTGACAAAGCTCGATATCTCGGGCTAGGGACTTTCGATTTTGATTTCGGGCATACATCCAAGTCCCAAATCACGATACGAACCCATCGGGACCATCAAAACACGAACCTGGGACCATTTACCAAAAATGTTGACCGAAGTCTACTCAAATAAAGTTTTTAAGCAAAATTTCTAATTTTTTTTATCAACTTTAACATAAAAGCTTCCCGAAAACACACCCGAACTGCGCAGACCAATCGAGGAGGGTAAGAATGAGATTTTTAAGGCTTAAAAGCGCAGAATTAAGTTCTAAAACACAAGATGACCTTTCGAGTCATCACACTCTCCACCTCTAAAACAACCGTTCGTCCTCGAACGGACATAGAAAAGTGCCTGAGCTGGTGAAAAGGTGGGGATATCTACTCCGCATATCAGACTCGGACTCCCAGGTAGCTGCCTCAACAGGCTAACCTCTCCACTGCACTCGAACTGAAGGATAACTTTTCGATCTCAACTAACGAACCTACCGGTTTAGAATAGCTACTGGCTCCTCCTCGTAGGTCAAATCCTTGTCCAGTTAGACAGTGCTGAAGTCTAAAACGTGGGATGGATCGTTGTGATACTTCCGAAGCATGGACACTTGAAACACTTAATGTACCGCTGATAAACCAAGTGGCAACGCAAGTCTGTAAGACACCTCTCCCACTCGCTCAAGAATCTCAAAAGGCCCGATATATCTAGGTCTCAACTTGCCCTTCTTTCCAAACCTCATTACACCCTTCATGGGTGACACACGGAGCAACACTCTATCCCCGACCATGAATGCAACATCACGGAGCTTACGGTCGGTATAACTCTTTTGCCTGGACTGAGCTGTGCGAAGTCTATCCTGAATGATCTTAACCTTATCCAAGGCATCCTATACCAAATCTGTACCCAATAACTAAGCCTCCCCCGGCTCAAACCATCAAACTGGCGATCGACACCTTCTACCATATAATGCCTCATGGGGAGCCATCCGAATGCTCGATTGATAGCTGTTATTGTACACAAACTCCGCTAGCGGTAAGAACTGATCCCACGAACCTCTGAAGTGAATGACACATGCGCGGAGCATATCCTCCAATATCTGAATAGTGCGCTCGGACTGCCCATCCGTCTGAGGATGAAATGTTATGCTCAGCTCAACCTGCGTGCTCAACTCATGCTGCTCTACCCTCCAGAAATGCGAGGTAAATTGCGTACCTCGATCAGAAA